AATTATAATTATTTCTTTTCTGTAACTTTTGAAAAAAATTCATAAGCAAAATAATAATTGTTAGATTAGAAAAATATAATACTCACTGCTGATAATCACCTCTGGATGTATTTTGATTAAAGTGGTCAGCATTTTTCATTACTTTTGGCAGTATTTAATTAAAATTGGGCAGTAAAAAATATAATTTTGCAAGTTTTATAGTGATTTTGTATTCAGTCAGTTAAATTCTTAAAGTAGGTAAATACTTCAGTAAAATAATATTTATCAAATAGAGGGTATCAGATTGAATTGCTAATTTCCTATTTAGCCACAAAATTTATAAAATTATATTATTTAATAGCTTATCCTTGTAAAAACAAAAAGGGGCGCTATTTAAGAGTCAGTAAACTGTGAAAAGCCTTTTATCATATTTCTAAAAAAATGATTAAAATTTGTGTAAAAATAATTTTTCAATAAATACCTAAAAGTTGATGAAAGTGTGTAAAGGTGAACTAGATTTATTTAACTTTCGTTTTATTATTTAAAATCTCAAATCCTCGAAGTAATTTGACTTTAAAAAACATTTCTATTTAATTAAATACTGCAGAGCAGATCCGGGTCACGGGATTTTTTTTCCGGGGAATTATTTTCCTAGATTCAAATTTACTAGTAATATAATTTGAAAATTGTTCATTTTTGTTTTATATATCTATAAATACATATAAAACATAATCCCAAAAAATATTTTAAAAATATCGTGGTTTGGCGGATAACCGACTCGTATATGTTTTACTCGTAATTATAGATATATAAAACAAAAAATGAACATTTTTCGAATCATATTACTAATAAATTTTATCAATCGAATATTTAGTAAGTGGGGTTTTGAGCTCGGCAATCAGTCAAATCAAATTATTTTCAAAATATTTTTTAGGATAATGCTTAGCACGTATATATATACGCGTATAATACAAAAATAAAGATTTTTCCATGGATAACGCCAGCAATGCAGTATTTGGTCATTCGGTCGGTTTTCGGGTCAAATCACGATATTTTTAAAATATTTTTTGGAATTATGTTTTATACGTATTTATAGATACATAAAACAAAAATCAACATTTTTCAATTTATCTTAATAGCAAATTTGATCAATCAAATATTTAATAAGTGGTCGGTTTTGAACTCGGCAATCGGTCAAATCAAATTATTTTCAAAATATTTTTTAGAATAATGCTTAGCACGTAAATATACACGTATAAAACAAAAATGAAGAGATTTTGATAAATAACGCCAGCAATATTTACTTTAAAAAATTTCCATTGTTTTACTATTCTAAACCTACTCATTAAACATCAAAGAAACCTAAAAAAAATTTTTAATTAAAAAAAATTTTTAATTTTTAGGTTTTTCATATGTATATATATACCCAAATATAAAAAAAGTGCTATCCAATCATCATTCCGGTTTCCTAAAATGATACATATTCAAACATATAACGCCCTCTTACGGATATATATTTGTTAATTTTTAAAATTAAATAAAATGTATATTTGTTTTAATAAGCTAGAAAAATAAATTTCTTATTAATAATATTAAATAAAAATAAAATTATATACTATATCATTTAATCAGTATTCTTCATTTATAATAAAAAAATGATTTAAATATATTTTAAAAAAAGTTTAAAAAATTATCTAAAAAAATATACGTAATAAATTTTTGATTGATTTATAATTGATAATGATTGATTGCCTTTTAGCAATGCAGTTTAGCAATGTATTAGCAATTCAATGTATAGTGGGGAAATTTTTTCCGGGGAATTATTTTCCAGGGGAATTTTATTCCGGGGATTTTTTTTCCGGAGAATTATTTACCTGGGAATTATTTTCTGGGGAATTTTTTTTCGGGGAATTATTTTCCGGGTATTTTTTTTCCGGGGAATTTATTTTCCGGGTAATTAATTTCCGGGGATTTTTTTTCCAGGGAATTAATTTCCGGGGATTTTTTTTCCGGGGAATTATTTTCCGCTTACCATCTCAAATATCTCTTTTATTACATGGATATTATTGCCAATCTCGATTTTTTTCATTCATTATTTTAAAGCTAATTGAACTATTTCAATTAATAAATTATAAAATAATATATAAAAATGTAAATTTATCAAAACTCGCATGGTAATAATTTCATATTATGTTCATTTCATGATTTTCACTGTATAACAAGAAGATCCATCGTGCTATAACTGTAAGGCGTAATTGTTTTAAATCTAATAAATGAATTGAAAAGGATCTTTTGATTTAGGCATCACTCATGTAACCCCATACCATTATACATAGGCGTAGCCAAAATTTTCCTAAGGGGAAGGGGATTTAAAAAATTACTGGGGGCTTTGCCCCCAGACCCCATTTTGGGTACCTTAGTCTATATATAATCATAAAATATTTTTACAGGACATGAGGTTAATTTTAATAAAAAAAATAATCCTGGAACAAATACGAAATATATTTTTATTAGTTTATATAAAATATAATAAATTACTTGTATATACATTAATGGTAATAATTTATTCCAAACAAATATAAGAAATTTATTTATAAAAAGTAAGTAGACATATAGTTGATATTCCTCTTTATATAGAATTGGTTACAAAATACTAGGTAAAATTCCACTTTTACAGACATATTTGACAGTTGGAGAATATATTACAGTTAATATTTTAACAAATTTTACTAATCAATGCTCTTGATAATAAATATATCAACAATTTGCATTTAAATATTTAACGCCATCTATTTATTTAAATAAAAAATGATCTTCATATTATTTATCCGAAAATGTCGTTAAAAGATATTTTCTGATGCCCTTATCAATATTTTATAGTTTTCCGTAAAATATATAATTCGCTATATTGATAAAAATTACTTGATTGTCATATGATAATTGATAAAATTAGATATACTGTATATCTACGACATAAATTATTCCACTGTTTGTATGCTTTATATTTAATTTATGATTTAATTTTATCAATAGTTTTATAATTATATTTTACTTTTATCATGATAAATAAATTAAAATTACTCACTTTATAAAAAATTATATTTGATATATTATATTATTTAGTAATTTTATGGATCTATTATTAATAATTATAATTCATTTCACTTTGTCTTAAGACTTATCTTTGGCTTATATTCCATTTTTTAAAAAACATTTTTGGTTCATTTTTTATATTAATAAATTTATTTTCCCAAAAATGTATAAATTATGATGAATAGTTTTATAAAAAATATCAACTTTTACATTCTTTCGTTCGAATTATTGTTTAAGATAGACATATGCGTACATTTTTGAGGGTCAGGGAGTGGGGGGATGACAAAGGGGGATATTTTTTATTAGCTTTAAATGATATTCACAAAAAGTTATAAATTTCTGAAGGAGGGGGGGGGAATTTCCCCTTGCTTCCCCACCCCGGCTACGCCTTTGCCATTATACTATATGTTAACTTAACGATTCCTTATAAACAATCAGGATAAAAGGTTTCTCCTTATGTTCATATTACAGGAATTGTCAATCATATAAGGAAAAGGTTCAGTCATAAAGGATAAGTTCGCTTAAGGAAAAGTTTGATCAAAAAAAGAAAAGATCCAATCAAAAAGGGAAAAATGTCACTCAAAAAAGGGGAAAATTCCCATTTATAAAAGAAAAATCGATTTTTTAAATTTTTTTAAAAAAATTATTTTTTTAGTTTTTTTAATTTTATTTCTAACTTTTTGTGATCCCTTTAAGTCATTTCCAATCTTTATTTTTCTTATCTTTTTTCTAGGGGGTGGTCAAGCCTCTTGTAAAATTTTAAGAACCCCTTCAAAATTTTGAATTTTTTTTCTAAAAAAAGGTAATTTTGAAAAATGTTAGCTAAAAGATAATTTTTAAAAAATTTTTGAGCCCTCGACGCCCCTGTCTTTTCTCAATTTTTTTATATTCTCATTTTTGATCATACTTTTTTGTCTTTTTAAAAATTATTCTTTTTTAGTGCTGTAAAGTAACGTCAAAAAGTAACGCCATTCGTTACCTTCTTCTAGGGGTAACGAGTAACGGTAACGCGTTTCTTTTTTTTGAGTAACGGTAACGCAAAACGTTACTCGTTACTTTAAATTTTTTCTTATAAAATATTAAAATGAGAAAAACATTTTTTTGTACTATAAAATTACTTTTATTTATTTTTAAATATAAATAATTTAAGCCCAGTTTTTTAATTCATATCAACCACTATTCCTTCATTATTTTATTCTTGTTGTTAAATTTTCAGTTGAATTTTAATCTGATTAATATTCAATCGAAATTCAAAATAAATGTTAATAATATTATTTTTTTATTTATAATTTATGTCGATAGTATTTATTTCTTCAGATGAAGATAATATAACCCTTCCCTGGCCCCAATTTGAAACATTTTACACCAATAAAGAAAATTAAGGGTACAAAGTCTACACTTTGTACATGTAAATTATGCCCCAACGCAAATATTTCAACTTCAATTTCCAGCAGTTCAAAAAAACATATGAAGGTAAAAAGGTGAATGAATATATTATTATTTTAAACATTACTTTATTAATAGAATATTAAATCGTGGGTAAATATATCAACAATCCCCTACTAGAGCGTTTTTATGTCATTTTTTTTACGAGATTATCATAATGTTCTAAACATGGCCACTATTAAATATCCCTAGGGTTTAGTTACCACCATATTGTATTGGTAACGTTTTTTTGTTAAAAAGTTGTATTCGTGGAAAAAATCACAGATTGGTGCAGCCCTGGATTTTTATATTAATTGAAATTCATCCACTCCTTTATAACGTTTCTCGAGGGAGCACCGTTGTAAATAAGTATAAGCATTTAATCAAATCCGAAATCCAAACTAAATGGGTAAATTACATTTTTGAGTTTTATAAGGCATGCCATATATTATTTCAAATAATCATATTTTATTCTATTCCTATTTTTTTTTATTTTATAAAAGGAACACTTTTTAGTTCCGGATCACACTATAAAAGAAATTAACGGAGCATCCTTTGCTGGCTTTTATTACATTTGCTTTCAAAAATCAACATCTACTATCGAAGGTTACTATTATCACCGGAGTTCTGAATGGTAAAATGAGAAAATGGTGAAGAAATATTTAAAATTAGAAAGAGTCTTATAAAATAAATTATTGCAAGTTTTTAAAATGGTACTATAAAAGGAGAATTGAAATATTTATCAAAATATTGAATGATAATTTCTTAAATTTAAACTTCGTTTCTTTTATTAATATCATTTAACGCTTGTACACATTTATAAAGGTTCCAGTCCCTCAACCTGAGTTACGTACCAGAAGAAGATCCTCAAATTTATCAGTTCAGATAATAGTTTTGATAATTATATTTTCCATAAAAGATTCAATCACAAACCTAATTTATCTATAATCTTCGGCGTTTTTAAATATCAATTATCTAATTAGCTTTTTTGCCTTTTTAAAAATAAATTTATTTTTTATCGAGAAATTTTTAGAATTGCATTCTGATTTTGTTATGAAAAAATATATAATCTTACATTTATTTAAATTTCTGTCAAGTTAAAAATAAAATTTGATGTGTTTTTTTAAATTTAATTTTACAACTAGTCTGCGTAATCTGCTAGAAATCTCTAAGCCTAATTAGATATAGCCAAAAAATCAGCTAAACATAATTAGGCTTAACCGAAAAATCGGCTAAAACTAATTTGTCAAAAATTAGGCATCGGATAAGGAGCTCGGCTAATCGTTCTTCAGCGTTACATAAAATTAACCTAACCTTTATATTTATTAAAATTATATTTTTATATTAATTACGTAACGCTAATGGATGATTAGCTGAGCTCTTTGGCCGATGCCTAATTTTTGACTAATGAGTTTTCGTCGTTTTTTTCACCTAAAAACTCGGCTAAGCCGGGAGTTAGCTAAAATTTGCTTGTGACATCGTATTTCTCGAATCGAAAATTTAAAAACAATAATTTTGCAGCAGGGTTGTGCATTTGACCAGTTAAATATGATTCGGTCAATTGACCGGTCAAATTCAAATAAATGTTTTTTACGCCAATATTAACTTTATTTTGTATATATATATAATATATATGCATCAATGTAATATTAAATTTCATAATATTTTTTTGAATAGTTAATGTTTCGCCCTGGCAGATTCTTGTTCCGATTCATATTCAATATCATTATTTTCTTTAATATTTTTCAATCTTAAGTTATGATACTCTTACCAATTTGTTTCTGTTTTTCATATGAATATTTCCCCAAACCAATTTCTTTCTGAAGAAATCGCACTAGGAAATGTTAGTAAAATATTAGCTACTTCTCTTAATGGGCAAAGTGCATTCCACTAACTTGAAGCCGAAATCTGTTTTTTTCTTATGGAAGTTATTACTTTCCACATATTTTGGCTATTTAATATGCCGCTTCTGTTTCTGAAATTTATTATATCACTTAAAATATTTGATTATCACCACCTTGTAAAATACCTAATTCTTGTATTATATCACATGCTTCGTCAAATTCAGTACTAGTAAGATGCTCCCCTTGATATTGGGGCCCATTAAATAAGCAGCATTGTGAGCACATGTATTTAAATCATTTTTCTCTTTTCAAACATAACTTTAAATATTTTTTCTTCAGATGGAGAAAATATAGAATCATGGCATGATTGTATTATGTGTTTTTCCAAATTAAGCATCTCGCTTTTTACGTGAGCTAAAGTACATTTATCCCCTTGCATTTTCAACAATGAGGTAGCTAAAGGTTGGAGTATATCTAAAAATTTTATATTTTTCGTCCAAAATATTTCTTCATTTTATATATTATTTGCAATATCTTAGGACAAATATCACATACAGCTTCTTCAACAACTGATGCTTTCATAGCTTTCTTACATATTTGTATTCACTCCATACAATTTATTGACGATGCCCATCTTGTTTGGCTAATTGTACTTAATGTAGATGGTATACCATGTTGATTCTTATTACGGGAAAATACTGCAGCTATGTGTTTATTCTTGTAAAATTTAACAATTTTTTTTAATTATTGAAATATGGTAAATTAAGTCGTTCAAAATCGTGAAAGAATGCAATGTATGCGCTGCACGACCATAACATTGTATATGATTATAAATAGATTCAGATTTTAGAATTCTCCAGGCTGCTTTCAAGTTAGCGGCATTATCAATAACTAAAGAATATACATTTATCGGATTCAATTCATGAATTACATAAATTCCTCGTATGACGATTTTTCTCAGTATTTAAAAATTTGTAGAATACTGGAATAGTGTCATCATCATAAAATTAATAATACTCTCGTTTCTGTTGCTCAGCCATCTGATACAATTGATAAGTGAGGAGCTTTATCTATTATATCTGCAACTCTCGGCTCCATATCTCCTGACGCTTTGTCTAGAAGATATCCAGCCAGCTGCCTTCGTCTGGGTAAAGTGTAAATATGACGTTTTTTTTTAAAGAGTTCTTAGATGTAGGGATTTTCAGTGATGTGGAAAGGTAAATTGCTCACATATACAGCCTTTGCAAACAATTGATCGAGCTAATTTTTTTTCTTTGGGATTCATTTTATCTATAAAACCGGCTATACAAGATTGAGATTTACATTTAATCGCCTTGCTTGTAGATTATCAGAGATAATGGAATCAAATTCCCCTGAGTCATAAGGCAAAATATTGTCAATTTGATCATTATTCTCACTAATTTCACCCAAATCTTCGTTAGAGCTAGAAGTATTACAAATTACATTTATGTGATTTTTTGTAGAGGTTAATATTTTAAAATTTGAATGAAATTTTTCCTTAATTATGGCAGGGCACTTAGTACAGCTGCTTAATAAATGCTTGACCATTCTATCAACTGGGTAATATAGGACATCTTGCAAAACCTGCATACCGCTTTAACTGATTTACCATCTCCTACTTCTTGAAAATGTTTCCAAACTTGATGCTTTGGTTTGGCCATAATCCCTAATATATTAAAATTTAACTATAAAAGATTTTGATTATTGTAAAGTTAATCAATCTGAATTATTTTATAATTATCACCAATTATTTTGATAATTTGGCTTAATATTAAATTTAATATAATATATAACTTTTTATCAGAATTGAGTAAATTATTTTGTAAATCACCAGAACAACTAAAAAGAAAATTCATTTATAAATTAAGCAAGTGGAAGTAAAATAAATGAGAATTAATATAATTTATACACAGCTAAATATTAAATAAATTGATAAACATATTTTTAATGCATGCTAGTTAATTATATCAAAATATTTATTCGCCAATAATATTTTAGAGATTTGGCGAGTCAAAACTCTTCCGATCAATTGACTGGTCAATTGACAAACATTCCTATCCTGTTTTACAGTACTTATTTTTTATAAGTAGCGATAGTGCGCTCTTTTTTAATAATATAACATGTAAATACATTTTATTAATTTTGAAATTTAAATATATTAAATCCTCGTTCAGAAGAAGCACTAGTTGCAGGAATTGCCAATATTTTTCTTGATAGCTTTGGTAAAATCTCTTTTTTGTCGTTTCCACTCCACCAAAGTAGTTTTAAATATACAAAAAAGTTTATTTATAAAAAGTTTTTATGATACCAAAAAGGACATTTTAATGTTTAATATTCAAAAAAGTTCATAGGAACAATTTTTTATTAATATTTACTTAAATGATTTTAAATTTTTTAACCCGCCCGCCCATTGTTTAAATTTCTTAACCAGCCCATTTAAAAATTTTTTAACCCGTCCGCCCCGGCCCGTTCTTATAAAAAATTTTGCCCCTCCACTTAGTTGGGCGGGCGGGCCCAAACCCGCCCAATGCAAACCTCTAAGTCCAATAGTACAATCAAATATTGAAAGAAGAATTTTAAACAAAATATCACTTCATCAATATGTGAGGTAAAACATATCTTAATTAATTAAAAATCACTTCTAATAAGAACCCTCTAGAATAGTAGAGATTGCATAGGGATCGTTTTTCCTTGTTGTCTGGCAACTGATATTTTGTCCATTCAGGGATCTTCGGCTTCATGTGAGCGGTTATTCTCAATAGGGACAAATATGATAATGAAGAATAGAATTCTTTGAAGGAAGAAACCATTTGAAAGACATGCTCTAAAAACTGGTTATTGTCAAATTCGATTATGCATAATTATATTTTTTCAGTATTATATTTTGATATTTATAATGAGGTCATTGTACATTTTTAGTTAATATTAAATTGAGGAAATTATTTAGATATTTTTATAAGCGTTTTTAATTCTAAAAATTGGGTGTTTTTGGCCAATTTGTTTGGATAACATTATATGAAATCATTGGGTTTTATTTCGTTTATTTTCTGTAAATTTTGATAAGCAATGATAATTAGTTTAGAAAATCCTAAAAAGGTAAATTTAATACATCTACATCTGTTTATAACTTTTTCAAAAAATAATTTATTTTTTAAAAGCTTTAGAAAAATTTTCGAATCTAATATTCAACGAATCTAATCGACTAATAATAATAATTTTATTATTCGATTCGTTTTTTGCAAAACTAAATAAATACTAAATTAAATAGGTAAATATATATTTTATGAAATTTTTTAAATACTAAAAAAAATTGCAAAAAGTTTATATATTTCTTTTAATGTTTGAATTTAAAATTTTTCAATAAATAACCTTTTACTTAATTTTTTTTTATAAAGTAGCTAATAAAAATAGTTAACTTAAAAAAAGTTTTATTTTATTTAAACAAAACGTATTTATTTATAAAAAAGTATATACATCAGAAAAATATATATGGTTTATATATGTAATATCTCTTGTCTGATTTGAATGGCTCAGTCAGTATAATATAAAAATATATAAGTAAGAGCTAAATATTCAAATATATACTTTTCTACAAAAATAAGTTTAATAAAAAAATAAGAATAATATTACAAGGTAAAATATCAATATTTTAATTTATATAACATCTCCCTCTTCTAAGAAGCATTCCTCATGAATTTATGTAAAATATTATTGAGAGCTTGTCGTCCAAATGCTCGTTGGCTTGTCTATATCGCATTTGATTTTATACATTGGTTTGTCCAAATAGTTTTGAGTTTGTACTGGTTTGTCTAAATTGTTAGCTTGTTATCCTTATCGTAATTTCGTCTAATTAGCTTGCTTGTCTTACTCTGTTGTTATTATTACCAATTTTCAAAATTGTTAACATCATCAATAATTGGGAATTATAAGAATTGATCAAATTGGATATTAGAATAAATGAATTATGGGAATAATATATAGAATTTGGAATAATGTATAGAATCGAATTGAATAATCGAATGTTGGAAATAAATCAATAAAGTTATTATATCACATTTTTGATGTTTAATTTATTTTCGCGTTTGTTAAATATTTGTTTTATATATTAGGTTACATAATCTTTAAGTAAGCATGTTTTTGTTTTATTCGTATAGGTCTATAAATTGGTGTTAATATGTCTTTATTTGTAATATTTTAATCTGTGTCCACACTGTATTCCGTAAAAGATCTCTTAGATTTAATATAAATGGCGTCACTAGGGGG